ATTATCTCCAAGGAAGAACTTCCTAGTTGGTACTTCTCAACCTAATCCAACTGTGAGATGATGATGAACCATTGTCTTAAGTCACTATGTCGTGGGATAGTTTTTATAATGTAGCAGTAAAGAGTCGAAATGCATGCTTACCAGATAATAAACAATTGTGCCCGATGAACTCGCATGCTAGTGAGAGACAACCAATTACTGTGTGTGCCCACACACACACACACACACACACACACACACACACACACACACACACAGTGTAATTAAAAAATAGACAAGAAAAGCTGATATAAAGCGTAAGTAGTTAGGGTAGGTCTCCCTGAGAAGATTTCATTTTGTATGTAAGTGTTTTGCTTGCGTGTATATCTGTGCTCCATATGTGTGCCCCTGGAGGTCAGAAGAGGGCATTGGATTCCCCTGGAACTGTAAGCTACCATGTAGGTGCTGGAACCTAACCTGGGTCCTCTGCAAGAATAACAAGTGCTCTTATCTGTTGAGCATCTTCCAGCCCTTGAGAACATGATTTTTTAGTTAAGGGCAAAGAGAAGTTGGGAGCTGGGTATGTGGCTGTCTAGAGGAAGATTGTCTTAGGGAGCAGACATTGACCACACAGACTGAAGCAGCAACTTCTTTTGTGTAGTCATGGAACAACTGTTGTGACCAAATTCCTGAGAAGAAACAACTATTGGAAGGAAAGATTTGCTTTGGCTCACAGGCCATCATGATGGAGATGGCAGGAATGAGAAAAGGCTGGTCCCATCGAGTCAGGAAGCAGAGAGACAGATGAAGGCTGGCCCTCAGCAAGTTTTCTCTTTTCTGTTTAGTCCAGGATCCTAGACCATGGGAAGGGGTGACTGACATTCAGTGGGAGGCATCTTCCTCCTCAGTTAGACTTTTCTGGAAATGCCCCCATAAAGACACTCCAAGAAGTGTGTTTCCATGATGGTTCTACACCCAGCCAATTTGACCGTGTAGAACAGCCATCTCAACCTTACCCACTGTAGACTTGACACCAAATATGACACATCCCATCCCAAGACCTGAAGGAGTCAGTTTCAGCTCATAACACAGAAAGCAGTTGTTAGTTGGTTTTTAAGAGCTCACAGTCTTTAATGGTTTCAATCACTGTTCAAAAGTAGTCTCTTTGGAGACTTAACGCAACCTCTTAACTATAAACTCTGAAAAAAATTAAAAATAGTTTACATATCTCTGGTATACAATGGCACAGAATAAACATTCTTATTCCAGCCGGGCGTTGGTGGTGCACGCCTTTACTCCCAGCACTTGGGAGGCAGAGGCAGGTGGATCTCTGTGAGTTCGAGGCCAGCCTGGTCTACAAGGTGAGTTCCAGGACAGCCTCCAAAACAATATAGAGAAACCCTGTCTCGAAAAAAAAAAAAAAAAGAAAGAAAGAAAGAAAGAAAGAAAGAAAGAAAGAAAGAAAGAAAGAAAAAAATTATTATTCCAAATGGAGGAATGGAGGCACATCAAGAAAATATTGACTCAAAGCCAGATCCATATCCAACAAGGCATACATCAAACCCTAGAGTTCCATGTCTGTACTTGTGATGGAATTATCTGGACTCCGGTGGCATGGACTTGCCTGGCCCTCCAGTTCTGCCACCTACCACAGGTGCAAACTCTCCCTTAGGCCACCAGCTGTGCTTTCTGCCTGTCGCCGTCCTTGACATACATCCCACAGTCCCGGGCATCTCCAACACCCCAGCATCTTCACAGAACCTTGGGTTTCACCTTCCCAAGCTCATGGCATGGTCTATCAGAGCCACCTCTCATGAGATCTGGCTCTGACTCAGGAGCTCTCTAGAATATTAGTGCAAGCCCCCATCCCCAGCAAACTGCTATATCTTTCAGGCCTGCAAAAATCAGTGAGTACAATGTGGGCCATGCTGTCAAGTTCTGCTGCCAGATAAGATATAGCCTGGCTTGCAGCCTCTGCATGCCATTGAGGCTGACTGTGGGGAAACACTTCTACACAGGTGTTTTGATAATAGAGCCCTCCACACCCGTGGTGGCATTCCCAGTATAGATTTTCTTCTTTCAAATGAATCTCTATTTTCACAAGTTAGACCCTTCCGTAGGTGGGGTTTTGTTGTCAGACGAGCTCTGCTATTTTCCTGGCTCAGGACACAAGGCTTCTCTGTAGTGGTGATAAGGTCCTTAACAATTATAGCTGTTTTGCACCCTCATCTGCGACTTTAACTGGCTCGCACTGCTTTCCTCAGCAACATTTTTTCATCTTTCTTCTCCACTTGGTTTTTATTCACTGGAGATCTGGATAATGGTAATTAACAATAGCCATACTCATCTGGGAAGAGGGAACTCAGCAGAGAAAACACCTCCATCAGATGGCCTGTAGGCAAGTCTGCGGGGAATTTTTCTGATATGGGAGGACCCAGCCCACTGAACAAGCATTGGAAAGCAAGCCAGGAAGCAGCATCCTCTGTGGCTGCTTCAGTTCACGCCTCCAGGTGCCTGACTTGAGCTCCAGCTTTGGCTTTTCTTGATGATGGACTGCAAAGTGTAAGATGAAATCAACTCTTTCCTTCCCAAGTTGCTTTGGTTCATGGTGTTTATCACAGCAAGAGAAACCAAACTAGGGCGGGTCCTCACACTTGCATGATGTCTTAGTTATGGCTAATATTGCTGTGATGGAACACCATGGACAAAAGCAACTTGGGGAGGAAAGGGTTTATTTAATTCACAGTTCCATTTAACAGTTTGCCATCAAAAGCAGTGAGGGCCGGGGCTGATGCAGAGGCCATGGAGAGGTGCTGCTTCCTGGCTTACTCAGTCTTTCTTTCTTCCTTCCTTCCTTCCTTCCTCCCTTCCTTCCTTCCTTCCTTCCTTTCCTTTCCTTTTCTTTCTTTTTTTATTGAGCTACACATTTTCCCCACTCCTCCTCCTCACACATCCTTGTCCCCCCATACCCTCAATTTACTCAGGATATCCTTTTTTTTTCCCCTTGCTAGGCACATCCATGTGTGTCTGCTTCTCTTAGGGTCCTCTTTGTTGCCTAGGTTCTCTGGGGTTGTGACCTGTAGTCTGGTTATCCTTTGCTTTATATATCTAATAATCCACTTATGAGTGAGTACATATTATATTTGTCTTTCTGTGTCTGGGTTACCTCACTCAGGATGGCTTTTTCTTTTTTTTTTTTTTTCTCTTTTTTTTTTTTCAAGGCAGGGTTTCTCTGTGGCTCTGGAGCCTGTCCTGGAACTAGCTCTTGTAGACCAGGTTGGTCTCGGACTCACAGAGATCTACCTGCCTCTGCCTCCCAAGTGCTGAGATTAAAGGTGTGCCACGACTGCCTGACTGGATGGCTTTTTCTAGTTCCATTCATTTGCCTGTAAGTTTCAAGATGTCGTTGTTTTGTTTGTTTGTTTTACCACTGAGTACTCCATTGTGTAAATGTACCACATTTTCTTTATCCATTCTTTGGTTGAGGGGTATCTAGGTTGATTCCAGGTTCTGGCTATTAGGAACACCGCTACTATGAACATGGTTGAGAAAATGTCCTTGTGGTATGAATGTGCATCCTTTGGGTATATACCCAAAGTCAGTATTGCTGGTTCTTGAGGTAGACTGAGTCCCAGTTTTCTGAGAAACTGTCATACTGATTTCCAAAATGTCAGTCTGCTTTCTTATAGAGCCCAGGATCACCAGCCCAGGGATGGCACCACCCACAATAGGCTGGGCCCTCCCATCAATCACTAACTAAGAAAATCTTTGGAAGCATTTTCTCAATGTCTCCACTTCTAGGTTCCCTCCTTTCGGGTAACTCTAGCTTGTGTCAAGGTGACATAAAACTAGGCAGCACACATAGCAAGTACTTTATGACAATTATTAAAGGATACATTTAACAAGAAGCTTCCCAAATTTATGAAAAGGTTCATATAAGTGTCAATGTGTACCCTATGTTAAAGGAAGTAAGATCGTGATACAAGAACACAGGTTCAATTTATCTTGAATGACATCTACTCTGAAAGATGTTATGTGTAATCTTTGTAGTCACAGAATAAGACAAAGCCAGGAATCAATCGGTCACATTGGTAAGAGTATCAGCTAGGCCAGCTGCAGAAAGGTGAGGCAATTGATTCTATAAGAAGCAGATGTTAGCCGGGCGTTGGTGGCACACACCTTTAATCCCAGCACTCGGGAGGCAGAGGCAGGCGGATCTCTGTGAGTTCAAATTCTGGTCTCCGGAGCGAGTTCCAGGACAGCCTCTAAAGCAATACAGAGAAACCCTGTCTCAGAGAAAAAAAAAAAAAAAGAGTCAGATGTTATCTCCCTGCATTCCTACTTTTGAGCCTGGTGGAGCCTAGAGGTCTAGCAGGCTTAGTGATACATTCTAGGAATTTTATCTAGTGGTCAGGATGATGTTAGATCAGAAACAGAGGTTGATAGTCAATGGCTAAGAGATCACGAGGCAACTTTAGCTCTCGATCTACAACATTCCATTTCTCCACAGTCACGATGTTTAACTCAGCCAAGGTGTTCTACAAGAATGCCCTCTGGGAAACGGTCACTACCTTCAAGAGTCTGCTTAGTCACTCACAGGAGGGCCGGGGAGGGTAATGATGGAAATCTCACCTGTGAATCTAGCCAACCTTCCCAACCAGTTGTATGGAATTCTGTCTTGGGGAGGGGCTAGAGAATATAGGTGGGGAGAGATGAAGGAAGGAAGTCTCATCTACATAACCTGGGGGAAGTGGGCATCCCTAATGGGCGCAGACCTTGCAGTGTGACTACCTTTAAGGTCACCCGAGCCCATAACCCCTCACCCATTCCTCTGTTAAGAAAGCCCAGTGAACTCTTTGGTACCTCATTGGGCACCTAGGAGGACAGGTAGATATTGTTTATATCTCTTTCCTGGAAGGAATGTCAGCAATACAAGATAAATCAGTCCAAAAGCTCTTCAGGGGAGATTGGGATTCTTCCCAGAACTTCAGTTCACATGACCCAGTCAGCCAGCTCCCAAATACCACAGATTGGCAGTTTATTAGTCACTCTAGCTTCGGCACGAGTCATGCTCTGTGTTGTCTTTGAACTCAGGGAGCAGAACCCTGAACTTTTTAATCCTTCCCTCCTAGGACCACTGGGCTCTCAAGGAAATAGGTCTTCACTTCCAGGATGTGAGTTCTGTGTAGGAGAGAAAGAGAAAACTCTTGAACAGAAATAGATTGAGGATATTAAAGAAAAAAAAACCTGCCAAAATGTCTCCCAGGACAAAGCTTGTATTTGACCTACATGTATATAGCTAACAGACTATGAGTGCTTTGCTGCCAAGCAAAGATTATCTGCTCCAAAATAATGTGCCCTTCCACAGATAATGGGTTCAGTTACATCGGACACCACAGGAAGCACTTGAGAGGGCCTTTACAGCACACAGAAGACGCACACTGAGTGCTGTTTCGTTTTGTGAGTTGTGCACTGTAGAGACTCCATTCTGCCTTCTATCCTTGGACAGCGCCTTCCACAGAACAGGCTACAATGTGAGAAAATAAGTAAGAGGAGAACCCACCCTTCAATCCTTTCTCTTCAGAACTGCAGGGAGGTCCTTCGAAAATGCCAAGCAAAATGTAACCTAAATCTCCCGTCCCGCCTCACCCCTCCCCTCTCCTCCCACTTGGGCCATTTGCTTTCCTTTCTTTTCTTTCTATTCTCTTCAAACCTTTCTCCTGCTCTTCTTGTCTTCAGAAAGTATTTACCGGTTCCTTCTTTTGTTTTTTACAATTAATTTCTTATTTATTATTTCATGATTTGATACATGTATATAATGCATTTTGAACCTGTTCCCTATGGACCCCTTCTTCCCAGAACCTTCCTATTCTTGTCTTTCTTTAAAAAACAAAACAAACAAACAAACCCAAACCTTACTGAGTAACCAACATGTGCATGAGTGTGAGGTTTATTTGTTTGTGTGTTTGTTTGTTTTACTAGCTCATGGGTAATTCGCCAGTAGCGCCTATATCTCTGAAGAAAAATGACTCCCCCTCCTCCAGAAACTGTTTACTAACAATAGCTTCTCAGCTGGGGTGTGGTTTCATATGTTCCTTCTTCATCCATGCTGGACTAATGGGCTTGTGCAGGTGTCCACTGTTGCTGTGAGTTCACGTGTGCTGTCCTCATGTCATGACCAGAAGATGACATTTCATGGTACTCCTCCTCATCCTCCAACTCCTACAATTCGTTCCACCCACTCTCCCAGAATTCTTCTCGACTCTGAGGGGAGGAGGGGGTAATATAGATGCTCTGTTAGAACTGAGCACTCCATAGTCACTTGTTCTCAGCATTCAACTACTAAGAAGCTTCTCTAGCCAAGGCTGAGAGTAGAACTAGTGTATTAGCATAAACATTAATATGGAAAACACAGCTAGCAACATGTCCACTTAACAAAACTAAGTCCCTCACTATGGCCCATAACCTCCTAGCCATAAGCTTTTGAGCAGGTTTACAGTGCCTGGCATGAATTCCTTCCTGTGAATCAGGTCTCAAATCTACCCAGAGTGTGGTTGGTTAGCCTCATAGTAATTGTGCACTGTTTCACCGGTAGGCATAGCTCACCTAGCAGGTCAGTATTATAGTATGCAAGGTCCACCACTGGGGTAAGCCCACTGGTGACTTTTCTCCTGCAGTGGCCTGCATGGCACATTCTGTTTCTGTGAACGCTAGCTAACAAGGAGGAATTTTCCAGGTCAGCAACAGGTACTTACCATCTAGATCTGGAGAAGAAGCAAAAACAATAGCAATGGCCCATGTTGTTTTGGGGGCCTCTGGGACCTCTCTGACCATAGGTATCCACCCCCAGCACTGGGATTTTTTCTAATGACCTAGAGCTTATGTCAGAAAAGCATTATGTACTCAGTCAGGGTACCTCCACTCAAACTTCTTTTTACTTACCAAGTAGTGGGTTTCCATAAGGCTTTCCATATATCCTTAGTTTTGGTCAACCTCTCCATACCCTCTCCTTTTCCCTATCTCCCTGGCACTAACCCTCCCCCCCCCCCGTTAGACCTTTTCACCCCAGTGAGGGCTGGGGCATGCTCAGTGGTGTTGGAGACTGGCTACATACAAATAGATAGAGATGGTGTGAGCCTGCCTTCACACTACTGGAGAAGGGAGGCAAAATTTAGAAAGGGGAAAGCCAGTTGGCGGAAACGTAACTGCTATTGGATTGAAGTTGAAGCTACCAGTGCAAATAATGAGATAGAGAGGAAGACAGATAGCCTACCTCTCAGCTATACTCACAGCCCCCTCCCAAAAAAACAGTAACAACAAAAAACCTGTGATTGTGTATTGTAAAGACTTCCCCCGAATGATGACAATATTAAAAGGACACTGAAACCAGCTTGAGGGAACTTCTACTGGCCAAATCTGAAACAATCGCTGGGTCAAAATAATAGTAAAGATCCATTGATAAAATGCAAGCACATATGCTCACCAAGATAGAATCCAATAAATGAACAGATACTCGCAAAGTTTATTTCTCACAGTACAAGGTCCACTAATCAGCAGAGAACAAGTAACGGTAGGAGAAAGAGGCATCATGGTAGTACCACAGGCAAGAAATGTCAATAGAGGATAGTGACCGTGGGGCCATGTGCTTGAGGTCAATATGGGAGGACATGGGACCATGATCCATTCACTCTGTCTCTGTCCTTCAGAACTGCACCTTTGTCATCTGGACAGCTAACCTGGGTTCACAGTCCTGTGTGCCTCCCAGACTGACTCCATCTCTCCTGAGCCCTGTCTTTACGACCTTGAATTGAGTTCTACACGTTTCTTAGACTGCTCCCTGACTGTAAGTGCAGCATTGCAACATCTGACAGAATGCTGGTATAATGCCAGGTATTGTTCACGGAATCCCTGCCTATAATTGGTAATCTCCTGTGTATTTGCTCATTGATTGACTCCTGATGAGTCCTCCCAGGAAAGACCATTTTAGCCACCCACACTCCACCAGTGAGACCAGTGTCGGCCCAAAGACAAAAGTAATAAAAATGACAGCTCACAATGTGACTAAGGACATGTGAGTGTCTCAAGAAGAGTGTACTGTCCCCAGAGTATATATCTATGCATAGTGGGAACAGCTTGTATAGATGGGGTGCCTCAGATACCCCCCAAATACAAAGCCCAAGCAGCAGAGAGTAGCTGTAACTAGACAAGCAGCTCAGTCCATTCAGCTATGACGCCTGCCTGCCAGCGACATTTACCCTCTCCTCTTCTTTTCTCTGCTGCTGTCAATTGGAGGAGTGATTGAAAGCAGTGTGTACTGGAAGGGAATCAGGGCGATGAAGCCAGCCAGGTGCAGGCAATAAGGGGCATATTGGTCTGTAGAGTTTTAAAATAATAACACCAACCAAAAGCCATCTGGTTCATATAATCACCATGGCCATGGCAATTCCGAACAGTTGGCAACAAACGTAGCCAAAGGCTGGTCTTTTTTTTTTTCGAGACAGGGTTTCTCTGTGGCTTTGGAGGCTGTCCTGGAACTCGCTTGGTAGTCCAGGCTGGTCTCGAACTTACAGAGATCCGCCTGCCTCTGCCTCCTGAGTGCTGGGATTAAAGGCGTGCGCCACCAATGCCGGGCTCAAAGGCTGGTCTTTTATCTACCAAAAATGGCACTGGTGAGAAGGGATCCGTATTACCAAATTGTGACTTTTATGTGATTCTGAATTCCAAAATATGCAAGTATTTCAGCTGTAATAGATGCTCAATAAACACCATGTGGAAACAAGTGAATACAGGTGTGTGTGTGTGCGCGCGTGTGTGTGTGCGTGTGTGTAGTCCTTTACACTCTATGCTGGAGCTTCCCAGAGCCCTGCCTGGGTGTCCCTCATCAGGAAGCTTTTTGAAACACAGAGGCCTCTCAGTTAAAACATGGAGGAAGACCGAGGTACTGACCAAGAAATGTAGGCCAAGTCAGAGCCTTGTCTAAATAACACAGAGAACTGCCTCCATCATGCACTCTGAACTGGCAGGGGCCACCAGGCCCACTGCTTAGAGATTTTATTCATATATTTTATTCTTCTTCCTTGGAAAACCAACAAAAATCACCTCGGAATTCAGAATATTAGAGAATCCATTAGTCCTGGGGCTGGGATCCTAAGGGAAACTAAATACTAACAAATACTCCTGTTGACTGACACCCTCAGACGCTCAAATTACCTAAACCAGGTCCTAATTGAAAACAGCTGCCTGGAGAGAGCAAGGCCCTGGGCTGGGCTAGGAATCTGTTTGCAAATTTGGTCCCTGGAAAGAAACTAGTCTCCATCAAGGGTTAAAATGAAGGAGGTCAAGAGAGCAGTCCTTGGGAGCAGGACTGGAGAGTGGCTAAAAGAACCCGAGAACAAAGAGTGCTCACAAGGCAACTGCAGCCCCTTGCTCAGCCAGGTCCTGCGCCTGTGAGTGAGGAGAGACTGAGTGGGCTGGCAGGGGCCCCGGCTTCAGCAGGATTACACTAGACATTACCTTTCCAGAGTGGGCATCCCTCATCCTGGTATGTCTGGCCAGTACCTCTCCCGAGAGTTATCCTCAGCCGGAAAGTGCAGATGTCCACACCTTCGTGGGGAGTGGGGTTGCCACTCTAACCTGGGTCCTGCCCGTGACACCTAATGTGCTTCCAGACCCACTGAATCCTGCACTCTGCTAAGCCTCTCAGCCCCCGGGCTGTGTGCCCTGACCCCGCTGAGGTCTAAGCCGGAACCGCAGCCCTGCTCTTGGAAAGCTGTGCACGAGCCTCTCCCGCTAGGCCTTGGCATTGGTCTCCAGCCCAGACTGAAGAAGCTCACACAAGGCTTCAGGTGTGAAGATCGCCCTTCCGCAGAGTCAACGGGCAGCGGTGGTCATTAGTGACTGGTGGCCTGGATGCTGGTGGCAGTCACACTGGGCAGTTTTCAGTGGCATGACCTTGACCCTGCTCTTCGGTGCCAGATCCTTCGGTTCTCGCCTGTGTGCTGAGCCAAATTTCCCAGGCTTCCCGTCGATTCTGTGAACTGCTTGAACGCCGTCCAATCATTTTTCTTTTTTCTACCAAGAGTTGATTTGTGGTGTTGGAAATCAAGAACCCTGCCTAGTACAGCATCTGTCCCTGCAAGACTCAGGAAACTGGGGACACGGTCATTTGTGTGTGTGTGTGGTGGGGGGGGTGTGCACACACTTGCAAAAGAAAACAGAAGCAGAGTGAAGGGAACTAGACACCGGAAAAAGAGAGGCATTGTGGAAATGCAGGGAGGGGCGGGAGGGGGGGGGGGGAGGATTGGCAGGTGAGGCAGAATAGCCTGGAAGGGGTCACACACCTTGTTAATGCTTGTAATAAGAGCCTGGGAGGAAACAGCCCCAGTGGCCTCCCTAAGGTATTTCTGCATTGCTATTTCTGTCCGACAATGTGGTTTAAATGGTTTCTCGGCACTGTTTTAGAAACAGTTCCTTGATTCAGTCTTGCTCCTGGAGATAAACCCGGGCGTTAGCTTTGACTTTCTACATTGATCAAGCACGCAGCGTGCTGGGAAGTGCACAGATATATGGGCATGCATATGCATGACGTGCTATGATATGATAAATATATGCATGAGAAAAACGGGTCTGGGGCTAGATATGTGGGAGGGGAGCCTTTATGTAACAAGCTTATTTAATATCTCAAAGGGGAAACATTACTTACTATGCCACATTAGCCTATCATTCATCTTATGGGTAGACAGAATGAAGGATCTTCGACAATTAATAGAAATTGTGGGAAAAATTATGATTAAGTGCCATCTGCTGGCTTCTGTGCATTTTATTTTCATGCCGCTTCCAGCCTGCCCTCATAATTATCCGTGTCTCTCTCCGGTTCTTCACTGGTCCGGCTAACCAGTGCTGCCCTTTGTGGGAATGGAGGTGTGGATGGAGAGTGCATGTATGAGGGTGACGCTAACTCTAACGCACGAATTCATCTTCTTCCAGGTTCCAATTCAAGAGAGTAGGCCACAGCTTATTTTAGAATTCAGGTTTCGTAGCAGATTGAGCAAGCACTGTGTGCTTAGTGCGTGCAGAGGAGGAGGCGGGCAGCACTGTGAGAGTGACTTCTCTCTCTTTGGTTTCAGTGCTCATCTCAGAGGACTGATATGGTTTGCATCTCAAAAGCTCTGTCCAGCTTCTGGCAAGTGAGGAATTTCCGTGTCTCATTCAGATGACATTGCTGCAGCCTTTGCAGCT